AAACACAGACGCTCATACACGAAGGTGGACTCGTGCCAAAAACGCTTTATAAAATGAACTCGCTCGAAGACGACGATGCGGAGGAGGAGGAGGCCAAAAAGACGCTGGAAGCCGGTGGCGCGCTGATGCATGAACATCGCAGTCTCTATAAAACCGTTGAACTGCGCACCGGTTACATACACGAGGTAATTATACCGAATGAGGACCCTAAGAGTGTGCTCACCTGGGACTTCGACGTGATGCGCAGTGATCTACATTTCACATTGTATCGCGCCACAAAAGAGCTACCRCCAAAAACTGGTGAGTACAAAGCTGTGCTGTGCACTTCCAACTTATATAAACTGAAATGATTTTTCGTGCCACTTAGACACCGCTGTTTCCATATTCGATATGAGTGACTTCGTGGAGGGCGAACACTACTTCAAGGAGGAGCCAACGCTCATTTGCAGACACCGTGAAAGTGTGCAGGTGTGTAGYCTCTCCCTTCCTTACATCTGAATRGTGTTTTTCACTAATAACTTTTGACTGTTTCTTCGGCGCACAGGGTTCCCATGTAATGCATCACACGCACTCCTACATCATGCAGTGGTTTAGCCCGTCGAGCGGCGCTGAAGGCCCCGCACAATTGAACTTCTTCTACGAAGTGCTCAGCTCGGCCAACTACAAAGGCTCCATGACCAGCCTGCAATCCGGTTTCTCATCATCCTCCGCTGCCAGCTCGTGTCAGAGTCGATGATATGAAGCGAAYAACGGCGCGGCCTGCAGCAGTGCGGCAGCACGTGCGGAGCATGCCAATGGCGTGCTGAAGGCTGATGATGCAGCAGGGGGGAAGCAACAGCAGCATAAAGATGAGGAGCAGGTGCATGCGCATGGCATTATAGCGGCGAATTCGCTGATGGAGAAGACATTGAATTGAGTTAGAAATGAGAGTGTATGTGTAGCGCAAATAAATACACAGTTAACTCTCGTTTTTAAACTCAAAATAATATAATTTAGTGTTACATAATGTTAATGAATAATTTAGTAAACAAAAAATCAAAAAGACGCTATAATTTAATTTTAAACAAAAGAAAAACGGAACTTGGCTTTTAAATAGCGTTTTAATAGAGTAAATAATGCTTTTTAGCCGAAACAGTCGTGTCATGTGCAAACGAGTTGGCGAAAAATTGCAATTTTAAACAATTTTATTTTGGTATTAACGAATTTTATAGCTAAAATTGTAATGACTGCAAAAGCAAATAGTAAACGAATAAACTGCTTGTGTGAAAGTGGCGTTAAAGTGTAAGCTTGCTAAAGCCATTGCTTTGTATTGAAAGTGTAATGTCATCGATAAATCGATAACAGCGTGTACAATAATTATTTGTCAGTAGCAAACAATCATGAATGCAATAAAATATTATGAAAYTATTACAGCCGCATCGAAATGTGCAATAACATTTACTTACAGACGCGTACATATTTTTGAAGAACTTACAAGAACCTACGAAATAACGCCGTTACAAAACAATAAACGATTTACAAAATAATAAAGAAATACAGTGCAATTATTTTTGAAGAAAATTTRCCAAAGGAATTGTCACTCATTTTGTATGTTGAGCACAACACAAAAAGCGCAGAAACAATAGTTCATAAAAGAAACAGTTTTTCACGGTGGTGTTTGTTTAATGGAAAAATCAACTATGTATTTCAAGAAATTTGTGTTTGTCGCTCATTTCTGAGGAAAAAAAAAATTTTTTTAATACTAAAAAAAACTAAAAAATTTCAAAATTTTCCTTAAAAAATTCCGAATTTAATAAAAAAAAATTTTTTTTTTTTTT